ATCCCAACTGTCCTGCCTCCACTCATCAAGTGCTAAGATTTCAGCACAGCCAGTGAAGGCCAGTGGAGCCACCTGGAGCTGGGCGATGAAAAGGCACCCTGCTCTTGGTCTTAGTCTCCAGGAATAAGGAGTAAAATCCTGAGGTTTACAGCTGTGCCATGCATGGTGTGCTTGGAGAGCTGCCAAGTGGATCAGGCAATCTCAGAAGTCAAAGGCCACTGTTGTACTACATCCACCAGCACCATTCTTGCCCAAGAATTGGTGGGTTATTCAGTCATCCCCTCTCTTCCCCTACTAGATGGAAAGCTCCATAAAATGGACTGACTGTGTCTTTTTGCACATCATTAAACCCTTTGGGTCTAGCACAATGCCTAGACAAAAGCAACCAGTAGTTGTTTTTGGATGAACTCCACACATTTAAGTCATTCACAACTAATGACAATGACTCTTGCTTTTAAGAGTAGCTGTTTGTTTTGTTTTTTTTTTTTTTGTTTTTTTTTTTTTCAGACACAGGCATCTAAGTAGAACCTGCAAATGTCTCTCCCTCCCAAGAGACTTGCAACTTAGAAGCTATGGCTCAGATTGCTGGCTACTTACTAACATCTATTAACTCCTTGCTTAGTGAGAGAACTCCCACTGCAGCTGAGCAGATTGACATCATGAATAAAGACTACAAGTCCCAGCTGTCCTAGCAGTCAGGGTGATCAAGTTGTAGATACCCAAGGGAAGCTACACATGTGACTTTTGGAACAGCAACCAAGTAAGGGATGGTCATATCCTTTATTTTTCACAATTTCCGCCTCCTTCCAGGCTCAAACTCAAATGAGATGGCTAGTACTTCAGCAGCAATGCTAAACCAAGAGGCGACCTAGAGAATTTGAAACCTTTCTTTAAAACAGTGAAGCAGAGCTGGGCACAGGGGCACACACCTATAATCCCAGCAGAGGCAGGAGAATCATATAAGTTCTAGGTCAGCAAGGGCCATATAGTTAGACCTTGCTCCAAAACTAAACACTAAGACAAAATTGCAGAGCAGAAAGATAGGCCTGTGCCCACTTAGCAACCACAGAGCAGCCATCCCAGCCCTGAACTTCCGACTCCCAGATGAAGACTCCTCCTTTTCCTTTTGCTTCTCCTTCTATAAGAGAAGAATCCAGCCTCTGATTAGGTCTCTTTTATGGGACATCAAACACCACTGTTGTTGGTTATGTTCTTGCCACAGAGAGTAAATCCCTCCACTGAGTGAGGAAGTGGGTTTGGCCTCACCCATGGTCAGGGAAAGCGACCACATACCCCTGGGTTCATTATACTGAGGAACCAAGTGGCCAGCTTTCCACCACTTGCAAATGAGAGTCCAGACTAAGCCTGGGGTGATAGTGCACACCTGCAATCCCTCTACTCAGGAGGCTGAGGCAAGAGGTTCTCAATAGTGAGACCTTATAGCAAGACCCTGTTTTGAGAACCAAATAGGGAGTCTGGCCTAAGACGTGCCTTCGAGAAGACCAGTATGCGAATGCAGAACTAGATTATTCAAGTTATTAATCTAAAATGCAACATTTACTGAGCCCTTACAAGGTGTTGGAAAATATCTGGCAATATTATCTAACATAGCTCTTTTTATCTCCCAGTAATTCCACAGGTTAACACTGTGTCCATTTTGCAGATTAAGAAACTGAGGAACAAATGGTGACTGCTTCCAGATCACGCATCTCATATTGTGTAATTTTAAGCCAGGTGGGGCATAAATTATAGGGTATGGCAATGTATGGTGCTCTTAGCTGAGGTTCTAGTTTCCCACTGACAAAGGCAGAGGCTCCAGGCCCTTGTGCAAGCTAAGTGGGAGCCCAAGTGGCAGAGTGAGCAGCAGGAAGAATGTCAGGGGTGTGTCTGTGAAGCCCCTGCTAGAGCAACAGGCTGGTTACCACTGATCTCTGAGAACAGTCCAGAAAGATCCAAATGATTAATATTGCCAACCTGTGTTGGTGGAAGACTGGCGTGTTCTACTCCCACGGCAAATATGACAGCACTGGCATGTGCTGTGTGTGGGCAGAGATCAACGTGGGAGCTCAGGGCACCTGGGTTAAGGGCTGGTGGTGCTGAGTGAGTCATCTGCTGTAGAACTTTCTGGCACAATTGCAGCTAACATCAGAGGGGGCTAAAGGACAAGGCAGTGACACCCAGGCCTCTGGCGCATCTTTCTCTTGTCAGCATCCATCTCTCACCCACTAGCCTCATATTCACCCAGGATCGGCCCACCTATTTCACCCACATACAGGTGACTCAGAAGAGGCTGTATCCCAGAAGGGTGGTTGACTGTCCCCTCTAAATTCATCACAGTCGTCCCCCTTGGTGACAGACTCCATGCTTTAACGGCTCAGTACACGGCATATCCCTGGAGAATGCCAGTCATCCTGGGTGACTCAAGCTAGCCCAATCAGACTGACTAAAGAAAGCACTTGATGTCACCACTGCTGGTGTAGTCTCTCCCTCCCTCCCTCCCTCTCCTGGGTGTGAACAAAAGTGAGACCGGCTTCACACTGGCAGCTCTCTTGAGACTGTGAGAAGATGGAGTGCAAAGCTGCCTCTGCACCCCCAAAGAAATGCTCAGTGAACACCAAAGAATGAGGTGCTGTGGGACAAACAACATGGAAAGCCAGCCCTGACGCCTAAGCTAGAGAAATGGTCAAGCAGGTTGGGGAGGGGCTTCAAACGGAAGGACCCATAATCCTTTCACCTTCCAAACACTTGGGGAAAGTCACCTGTATGTCCAAATGTTTCATAAACAGGATTCTCTGTCTGTGTCACCTCCAAGTCCATCAGCTGAGGTGGGGGAAGCAGAAGGAATCGGGGAGCAAGAGCCTATGGCAACATAAAAAACACAGCTCTCGTCGTCTCCCAGGGGTAAGAGTGTACTCTGGAGTATTTAGGTCACCTAAAAGTCCACGTTCCAACATGATAACAGTTTTATGAATTATTAGCAGAAATAGAACAAAGAAAGTAGGTAAATCAACACACTTAAAATACATCCAGGGGGTGGGGTGGGGGTGGGGGGCTGGAGAGATAGCTCAGAGGTTAAGAGCACTGGCTGCTCTTCCAGAGGTCCTGGGTTCAATTCCCAGCAACCATTGGTGGTTTACAGCCATCTATGATGAAATCTAGTGCCCTCTTCTGGTGTGCTGGAATACATGCAGGCAAAAAGCTGTATACATAATAAATCTTAAAAAAAAAAAAAAAAAAAAAAATCCATGGAGGGGCTGGAGAGATGGCTCAGCAGTTAAGAGCACTGGCTGCTCCTCCAGAGGACCCAGGTTCAATTCCTGCATCTACAAGAGGCTCACATTCTTCTGTTAACTCCAGTCCCTAGTGATCTGATGCCCTCTTCTGGACTCTGCAGACACCAACATGAATTAATCAATGGCTTAAAACCATATACATCCGGGGAAGTGAGCTATGACATCAGAGACAGGTCTGTACCTGTGATGCCAGGGGAGACATCCTGAACTTGTGGGTTTGTGTCAGCTAGTTGTGTATCAGTGTATCCTAAAAGGAAGTTAGGTCACACGAGGGCGGGCAATAAACAGTTACGGGGACGATTAAGGATAGTGTAGGATATTTGGCTCTGGACTGGCAACATTCCAACCTCTCCACAATCACTAAGTTTTGTAAGTCCATCAGCCTGTAATGTTCGGTGAAGATGGTTTTTTGTTTGTTTGTTTTGCTTTGTTGTTGTTGTTGTTGTCGTCGTTTGTTTTTCTGGGAACTTTCCTTCACACCTCCTACTCCAGCCAGCCAGCTTTGTGATCCTTTGATTACCTCGGGTCACCCTAGGCAGACCGCTGTGTGCTTCTGGGCCCCTAAGATGCCTGCTCCGCTCAAAAGCAGGGTAGCCAGGTAAGGCTAGGCTCAGCACCTCCAGCCACACTTGCCCAGGAAAGAGCAGGGGGCAGAGTCTCTGTCCCTAGAGTGATGCAGAGTCCTCAGCAGGAACACCCCCACAGCCCCTCCCCGTTAGCCGAGTCTGCCTTGGCGGTTCCTTTCTCTAGCACCTAGCCGGGTCACCTCCATCCGCAGCTCTCTCTCCTAAGAGCGGTCCCAGAGGTCCCAAACCGCAGGCTCTTTCACTGTCCCCTTCCCTTGGGCCTGGGAAGGCTTGTATCAGCTTCCCAATAGAAAGTCACAGAGTGGGTCCTGTACGGCGTCCAGGCTGACCTGGAATAGGCCCAGCCTTTCTAGGGACGCTCATCGCTGGACATCACGCGCCAGCTAGGAGGCAGTGCAAGCCACAGGAAAGGGCGTGTGCAGCTGTTCGGGTTGACACCCCGCCACAGCTCCAGCCGGACTCTAGCTGCGCAGTCGGGTAACCTGACTTTGGTTTCTTTTCCTCTCTCCCCACCCCCACCCCGCAGGGGGACTACTTTGGGGAGGCCCTTCAGTAACCACTCCCACTCCTACTTCCTGGATATAGCTTGGGGATGTGCAATATGGAATTTCATGGAAGGACGTACAGAATCAACACAACTCCAGAAGGCGCGGTGGCTAGTTCTTGTCGCTGAGCCCAGGGGAGCCCGCGGTGGAATCTAGAGAGATCCGTGGAGCGAGCCTGCCGGGGTTTGGGCCTCAGCTCACCCACTCATTAGCTCCAAGCCTGTGTGTGGGTGTGTTGGGTGTGTATGTGTGTGACGTAACTTCTCTGTGCCTCAGTTTCCTCCTCTGTAAAATGGGATTAACATTGTGCCCAGCTAGCAGGGTGGCTCTGAAGTGTGAGGTCACCACATTCCTGTTTTCCCCATGTGGGGGCCACTGTTCCCAGCTCCCACTGAGAGCCAACCCTTTCTTGCTGGGCAGGTCTGACCTCCCGCGTCCTCGCCTCTCAGAGCCTGAGTCACCGCTCTGTGCGTCACTCGCGACTTTGCTCCGCGACTTGCAGACTCACCCTGAGTCAGCGGCGGACGCGTCCACTGCGTGTGTCGCGAGGGGGTGGCGGGGCGCCGCAGCCGGCAGTCGGTAGATGGGTTGACGAGGGACACCCGGCTCCTGTCGGGCGGCGCGGGGGCGGGCATGATCACCCTGCGGGCCGAGCCACTCGGACGGGAGAGGCCCAGCGCCGTAGCCCCTGCGGCTGCGCGATGGTACAGCCCGGCAGGGTAAAGCAGTCGGGCGACTCTGGCGGCCAAGGAGGCGCTATGGGGCTGCGCGCGGGAGGAGCGCTCCGGCGGGTGGGCACCGTGCCGGGGGCACCGGAGGGACAGGAACCCGGCGGCGCTCAGGGAGGCAGCATCCACTCGGGCTGCATCACCACGGTGCACAACGTGCCAATCAGCGTGCTCATCCGGCCTCTGCCATCCGTGCTGGACCCGGCCAAGGTGCAGAGCCTCGTGGACACGATCCTGGTGAGCCCGCGGAGCCTACCGGCCCGCGCGAGAAAGAGAGGGCGCGAGGGTAGGGGTCCAGGATCTGCGGGAGCTCAGCTTCGCCTGTGTGACCTTGACGGGCTGGGCTGGCGGAGCCTCCCTGGGCCTCAGGTTCCTCACTTGGACTTGACCATGAAAGTAATGATCTGTGACGCACATACTCAAAAGTGCTGCGGTTGCTCCCAGCTGATTTCAGCTTCTCTGATCAGCTCTGTGAAGTAGCTGCGGTTCCTCCTGTATGGAGGAGAAACTGAGGCACAGGAAGCTTGGATTTTGTTTTGTTTTGTTCTGTTTTTTAAGCAACTTGCCTTAGGTCAAGCACTTACAAGATGATACAATGAAACTTTACCCCCAGATAACCTGGGTATCCTGATGTCTCTTCTGGCCATGACAGTCAGGGCAGTGGTCTGGGTGTGTCATGTATGTTGGGAAGTAGGAGAGGCTCAAGGCCTCCATATTGGAGGGAGAGTCCCCGCAGAAGCTAGGGCGTTTGTGTCAGATCAAGATTCTTCCAGATTCTTGAGCAGTGGGCCCTGGAACCCCTAAAGTCCCGAGGATGTTTGGTCTTAAAATTTGCACCCCTGTCTTCCTGTGAGAATTTCACAAAAGCAATTATTTTGCCACCTTGGCAGTTGCCTTCAAGCTGACTGTGGGAAGGGGACTTAGCCCCACCGCTCTCTGAGTACCACTGGGCCTTTGCATAGACTTACCTCACCCCAGGAAGTGCTCCCACACCTCCTTCTCGGCATTGTTTTAGTTTTGGTGTGCACATGATGCTAGGGATTGCACTTAGGAGCTCTGGCACGGTCAGCGGGAGCATCACCAATGCCCTGAAGCCCGAGTTTTTATCTCTTTGTTGCTTCTAACTGCTTAGTCTTTCTGTCTTGGTGTCAATGTCTCCCCTGCCCACCCTATTGGGCTAGGCCTTCTGTGACCTCACAGCCACCTGGGTGCCCCCTAGCACAGCTGGGATCCTGATGGGTTTAAAAGACCAGTTTAGAAACCTCTGTCCCATGCTGGAGCCACAGGCTCTTGTGGAGACAAGGACCTATCTGCTTTGGCCACCTAAACACGTTGTCACAAACATGGCTTAAAACAAGATAGGAGTCCAAAGCTGTGTTTTTTGTGGGTTTTTTTTTTGTTGTTGTTGTTTGTTGTTGTTGTTGTTTTGCTGCTTTTAAAGCAGGGTGTGTCTCTATATAGCCTTGCTAGTCTGAAACCTTCCATCTCTCTGGTGCTGGGATTACAGGTACCCCCCACCAGACCCAGCTCAAAGTGTGTTTTATTGAGCTAAAATAAGGAGCCAGCAGGACTGTTTTCTTGAGGCCTTAAGGGAAAATGCATTTCCTGAAGTCTCAGTTACTTTTCCCTTTGTTGGGACAAATCGCCCTGACAAATGCAACTTAAGGGTAACAAGGTTTACATTGGCTCACAGTTCAAGGATACCGTCCATCACATCAGGGAAGTCATGATGGCAGGGGCTTGAGGCCACTGGTCACAGTGTATCGCCAGTCAGAATGGTGAAAAACCACTTGTGCACTGCTCAGTGTCTTCTCTTTATACAGTACAGGATCCCAGCCTAGAGAATGATGCCACCTTCAGTGGGTGGTTCTTCCCATCTCAGTTAAAGTAACCACTATAAACCCCCACAGGCATCCATAAAGGCCCACCCTCCAAAGTGGTTCTGGATTTCATCAAGTTAACAATTGAACCCTTTAAGCTGAGGGCCTCTCCCTTATCTTCAAAATAGCAGCAGCTGGTGACCTCTTTTGCCACAGCCTTTTGCTTTCAAAGAACCTGGTGATTACATTCAGCCTGCCTGGGTAATCCAGGACAATCTATCAGTTTCAGGAGCCTTAAAGCCCACTCCCATCAGCAGATTTCCACTATGTAAGGTGGGTTTCACAGGTCCTAAAGATTAGGAAATGGGCATCCAGAGGGGCCTTTATTTATTTACTTGTTTATTTATTGTGTATACAATATTCTGTCTGCAGGCCAGAAGAGGGTGCCAGATCTCATTACAGATGGTTGTGAGCCATCACGTGGTTGCTGGGAATTGAACTCAGGACTTGTGGAAGAGCAGTCTGTGCTTTTAACCTCTGAGCCATCTCTCCAGCCCCAGTGGGAGCATTCTTAAACCTACCCTCTCACACCTTCAACACAAGGCCTACCAAATGCAGCTGTCCAGGGCCACCCTTCCAAGGAGTCCTCCCGGACTTCACCCACTGCCCTGCTCGTTGAACATAGGGGCTACCTGCCCAGTACTGGTCCCTACTGTTCTTCAGAGGAGCCATGGCTTAGGCATTTGGGCTCTTAACCTAAACTAGTCCATATTTGTAGCTTCCGTAGCCTCCCTAGTGGTTCTGTGCCCCTGTCACTTCAGACAGACCCATGGCCTCCTTCCATCCTGGCTTGTCATCTGTAAGACTGTCTTCATAGTGTTTATCACTCCCTGATTCACTTCCTCCTTCAGTCTGTTCCTGGGACAGAAACCCTGTCAGGGTGAGACTGTCCTTGCCTCCTGGGTGTACTGTGTCTCCCAAGTGTGTACTAAGTGAGCACAGGGTATATTGTTCACATGGATGTAGATAAATACTCCGCACCTAGTGTTTGGGGGAAGCCCCTAGCTTACAGCATCTGCCATTACTCTGCTGGAAATAAATACTCTTGGGACTGATTTTCAAGCTGCCAAGACAACACCTGCCCGCCAGCTTGCAGAACCCCTAGGTGGTGGAGAGCCTGCTGCTCCTCCCAGCACGAGCCCTTTATAGGCATTCTGCTTGGCTTAACAAAGCATTTTGCCAGTTCTCAAGCATAGTGCCATGCTCACTCACCCTGTGACCTTTCTCTCTAGGAGGACCCTGACAGAGTGCCCCCCATCGATGTCCTCTGGATCAAAGGGGCCCAGGGTGGTGACTACTACTACTCCTTCGGGGGCTGCCACCGCTATGCCGCCTACCAGCAGCTCCAGAGAGAGACCATTCCTGCCAAGCTCGTGCAGTCCACCCTTTCAGACCTGAGGGTGTACCTGGGCGCATCCACTCCAGACTTGCAGTAGAAACCTCCGGGTCACCCCACCCCCTGCACACCAGTGTCATCTTCCAGAGCCCAGAAGACACACATGGCCCCCAGTGAAACTGTAGCAGGGATATGTTCTCTTTATATCTAAGGAGAGAGGTCTGCCTCTTGGTGCCTCTATACTAGCCCCCGGGTCCAGGAATGAGGGGGCCCAGCTCCCCTGTCTGTAAAAAGATCTCACGGCCATGACCCTGAAGGTGTACCAAGAGGAGGAAGTGAGAAAGGAGATGGGCATGGAGACAAGGACTCCGTCCATTTTTATCTTTATGATAGCCTATCACTACATGAACTAGGTACTAGGAAGTAGAGGAAACTCCAGGACACCATGGCTTAAATGAGAGAGGCTTGTTTCCCCCAAAGCCTGAGTCCTGGAACACATGACTCACACAGTATTGTGTCAACTGCTCGGTGAAGGCGGGGCCTCCTCTAGTAACCCTTTGGCCTTGCCCTCATTGCTGCTTACTTCACAAGATGGCTACAAGATGGTCACAAGATCTCTAGGAATCATGTCTGTATCTATCAGTTAGCTATTGCTATATAACAAGCCATTCTCAAACTTAACAGCTAAAAAAAGTATTCATTTACCCATGATTCTGTGGTGAGCCCTGGGGGCTAGGTGCCTTTGGGCAGCTCTGCTGGTATGGCCTGGCCCTGCTCATGATCCTACTGTCAGCTGTCACCTCAGTTGGGGCTGGTTGGGCTGGGATCACATTATTTATTCTTGTGGCATATGTTGGCTGGATTGACTTGGTCATCCTTGTTGCCTCTCTAACGGGTCAGCTCAGGCTTATTCTCAAGGTGGCTTCAGAGTTCCAAGAATGAGAATAATAGTGACTCACTGCTAAGAGTACTGACATGGCAACTCACGACCGTAATCCCAGTTCCAGTTGACCTGACATCTGCTGGCCTCTGCGGGCACCAGACACATGGTACACAGACATACGCACATGCAAGCAATGCGCCCACATACATAGGTTTTGTTTTGTTTTAAGGTGACCAGATTTCTTCAGCCCTTGTGCCAGGACAATGTCACTACTGCTGAGTTCATTCCTCAGATGCAAGGGGTGTGGATGGACACCAGCTCTCAATGGGAGGAACTGTAAAAAACAGCATAGATGAATCTTGGTGGGCCGTGACAGTATTTTCTTGCTCCCACACATACGCACTCCTCACACAAAGGGCCATACCAAGTCTTAGACTTATCTTGGGACCTAGAAGTAGTCATGGCATGGTGTCTCCAAGAGCTGGGTACCCCACCCTCAAAGATGACTCACTAGCAGCATGGGGTGGGCAATGGGACCTTCCAGAGGGGCTTCTGCAAACTGAGGGTCCTGGAGGCCAAGGAGAGGCAGCAGAAACAGAAGAGTGAGAAGGAAGCAGCAGAGTGAGGTGGCCCTTGCTGCTGCCCTGCCCAGAAAGCTTAGTTACTTGTCGTTTTCTGTTTTCCCAGCTCAATAGTGAGGTCAACAGCTTTCTCACCTGCTGAGTGTCCCAGCAAATGAAATTGAAAGGGATAAAATGCAACATGGAACTTGAACTGAATCTTGGGACCAAAAAGTGATGGGGGAACATAGCAGGTCAACCAGGAACTTATTCGGTCTGGGTTTTAGTTATCCTCCATTTTGGGCAATCAAACTGCTAGGGTGGGCTGAGTGAAGACTATATGGGAACTCTTTAATCTCTGCAACTTTTCTGTAAATCTAAAGTCATTCCAAAATAAAAGTTTATTTAATTAAAAAAAACCCGCAATTTAATGGCTTTAGTCCAGTATTTTTGGTTGGGTTTTATGGGCCTTGCCCCGGGTCTGGGGCCTAGAATATGCATTTCTAGATGGTTCTCAGAAACAGGTGGGGGCCCAGGAACACATTTCTAGAAGGTTCTCAAGAGCAGCTACTTCTAAGGGAATGGAGCCAGGACTATGTAACCAGATGAGTAGGTATTTCCCACTCCTGGCAGGAGGGTGGAGGTATGCATGATTCCCCAAGCCGTCAGAGGGGCTCTGCAAGCCCTAACTTTGTGATCAGAGCCAGGAGAACAGAGGATGTCCTGCTGGGCTGAGGTAACCACATTCAGTCTGCTTGCAGACTCGGTTTGGAGGAACCCAACCAGCAGGCCCCACGAGGAGCGAGGGGACAGGGTGGAGGCAAGGGTCATTCAAGAAAAGAGCTGGGAGCCAAGCATGGCCCTTATCTGTAATCCCTGTATTGGAGAGTCTGACACCAGAAGATAAATTCAGGATCAAGACTTTCGTGGGCAGCATAGCGAGTTCCAGGCTTCCCTGAACGATTTAGTAAAATCCTGCCTCCACATGAAAATAGAAAGGCATAGGGAATGTAGCTTAGCAGTAGAGCCTTTGACTGGCATACTGGTTCCATCAGAGAGAGGCCGGACACGGAGAGGGGCGCAATGTGGCTGTCAATTGGTCCTGGGCTGCACTTCCACCCTGCACCAGCAAGTGGCGCTGGTGTCCCGTCCCTAGAACAGAGCTGAGTCTTGGGGACAGCACTGGGTTGGAGGGCATGGTTGAGGGAGGGATTGTCGTGACTGAATGAAGCCTGGGTGGGGCCCTCAGGTGCTGCTCATCCTGCCTGCCCTATACTTGTACCTTAGGGGTTCTGGGTTCCTCTACAGAGGGGGCACTTCCAAGAAGCACTGAGCACCCTCCAAGCTGGGCCATGAGATTCTTGTGAATTTTCTGATATGTGTCCCTTCCCCTGCCCTCAAAAAAGGCAGTGTGTAGGGGTTCTTGAGTCTCCTTAAGGCCCTGGGACCAACCCCTCCATGGTAGATTTAGATTTTAATTTCTCAGTTTTACTAAGATTAGACATTATTTAATGGGTGCATGCCTGTAATCCCATCACCTTGGAGGGTGAGGTAGGAGTGTTACAAGTTTAGGGTAAGCCTAGGCTACATTATGAGGCTGTCCTAAAAAAAAAAGTCCTAAAAAACATTAACAATTTAAATAACTAAACATTTTCAGTTAAAACACTAGGAGCAGGCTGAAGTCCATCCTGGATCCTAGACCTGGCTGTCCCTTTGCATTTTTAGTGCAATGAGTTTTGGCACATGCCCTTCCTGAAGTGTGCTGGACTGCAGAACAAATTCATATACATTCATGCATGTCTAGAACACTTTTGTGCTCTGTGTGTGTGTGTGTGTGTGTGTGTGTGTGTGTGTGTGTGTGTGTGTTTGTGTGGTGTGAGGCCAGAGGTCAATGTTAGGTATCTTCTTCAGTCACTCTCTGGTTTGTTTGTTTGTTTGTTTGTTTGTTTAAGGTTCTTTTTCATTATTTAAAAGTATGTGTATGTGTATCTGTGTGTGCCTATGAGTGTGGGTGCCTGCTGGTCCCCCAGGACCTAGGGTCAGCAGAGATTGTAAGCCTCCTACTGTGTGGATGGGGGGATTGAACTCTGGTCCTCTGGAAGAGCAGTACTTAAGGACTGAGCCATTTCTCCAGTCCCTTACACCTTATTTTTTGAGACAAAGTCTCACTATGTAATTGTTCCAATGCTGTCCCAGTAGAGTCTTTCCCTGAACCTGGCTGGAGTTCACCCATTTGTAGCATGAATTCTAATTGTTCTTAATAATAAAAACTCAGAGTCAGCTATCAGGGATGAAAGCTGAAGGATCAGAGAAGCAAAGCAGCCAGCCACTACAGTCCTTACCTCTACCAATGCTCAACCAAAGGGGCAATCTTTCATTCAGTCTGACTGCATTCTCAGACTGCATCCTCAGACTGACTGCTCAGACTGCCACTGCTCAAATTGCACTGAGCTCCTATTTCCTCTCTGCCCAGCCATAGTCTCCACCTCCCTTGTGCTGGGATTAAAGGCATGTGATTCCAAGTGCTAGGATCAACTTTGTGTGAGTGCTGTTTCTCTTTTAGACTGGATCAATTTCATGTAGCCCAGGGTGGCCTTGAGCTAACAGAGATCGTTCTACCTCTGTTTCCCATTGCCTGGCCTCCATGGCTAACTAGTATGGCTAGCTCTGCACTCTGATCTTCAGGAAAGCTTCATTTGCTATAGCATAAAGTCTGCACTCTGATCTTCAGGCAAGCTTCATTTGCTATAGCATAAACAAAAGTATCACCACACCCATTCAGCTAGGACAGCTGGCCAGCAAGCTCCAATGATCTTCTGCCTCTACTTCCCCAGCAGCACTGGGATTATAGGCATACGTAGCCACGCCCAGCTTTTTAGATGACTTCTTGGGGAATTGAACTCAGGTCCTCATGCTTGCACAGCAAACCTGATCCATCTCTCCAGCCCCAGTTTTGTTCCCCCAGGATTTATGTTTGTTTTATGTGTCTAGGTGCCCACGGAGGCTAGAAGAGGGTATCAATCCACTGGAACTGTATATAAACAGTCGTGAACTGCTGTAAAGGTGGTAGGAATTGAACCCTGGTCCTCCGAGAGAGCAGCTAGTGCTCTTAACCACTGAGCCATCTTTCCAGCACCCCACCCCTTTTCAAAACACTATTTCAGATTGATGTCTCTTGGCACTGGTCACTGCACTGCCCCCACTGGCAGCTGGACTCCTCTCCGGAACTCTCAGGCTGGTGTCTACAATATGGCCTCTTTTTCTGAAGGCCACCCCCCCATCTGTTTTTCCCTTCCATTTTATTTTCTTCATTTCTTTCTATGATTCTCTTTGGTCTCCACTGATGTCTTCCTTGCCCACCAGAATGTAAATCATGGCAGGTCTTCCCTGCTTATCACCCTGAGCCTAGCACTGATAGCAGTCCTAGCACTAGTAGGTGTTCATCAGACAGCTGTTGAGCAAATACATCCCACATGAGGGAGGCCATTCTTTTTTTACCACTGCCTGGTGTTGGGTAAAGGATGTAAGGATGTACCAGCCGCTCTCCTTGGGAGCCCATTGGCTGCTTGTGCAATGTGCGATCCCCACATCCTCTACTGTGTTCTACCAGCTGGACACCTAGAAACTTAAGAGCCTGGTGACACATAGCCTTCTACCTAGTTTCTCCTTATTGGTGACCTTTCCAGAGGAGATGTTCCAAATGCTACCCAGGCAGAGCTTGGGGACTCTTCTTCCAAACTCCAGCCCCTTTTTGGAGCATGATCATGGTTGAGAACAATAAAAAGCTATGAGCCCTTTCCCCACACCAGGCAGCTCACAAGCACCTGTAATTCCAACTCCAGGGGATCTGATGTCCTCTTCTGGCCTCCAAGGGCAACTGTACTCAAGTGCACACACATACAAACATACATATAATAAAAATAAAACACAGTATTTAAAAATAAACTTTGGGCACTTTCTGAGCCTCCCTATGCTTGACAGCTTCCAGGGGCTTTGTGCCCAGCACTAACAGCATGTCTCAGAGAAAGGTACCTATCCGTGCAGAGGTGGGGTGAGGGACTGAGCGGACTCTGGTTGCCAGCTGCTAGGTGAGGATGCTCACCTCCCCGCCATCAGCCTGCAGTTAGGATAACCTCCTGGGTGGTCCCTGCATGTTATCCTGGACCCCAGAGCACCAGCCTTGGCCTGAAAGGAACCTGGGAGATCTCCAAACTTCGTGGTGGGTATACCCACCACACCTGCTTCCAGGTTCGCCCCCTTCCATAGAATAAAGGATGCAACCTATCTCCAACCCCACAGCCAGCCCTAGAGGTGGACAGGACAGACATAATTTTCCTTGTGGCACCGATCGGAAACTGAGTTCCAAAACAAGTAGCCACCTGTCTGATTGCTCCAGCTGGCTCCACCCTATATGAGGGTCCATAGAGGCTCTTGCCCTGGGGCCCCATCCCGAGCCTGACCCCCGGCTTTGCCTGGCAGATGACCTCAGCTGCCGCCAATCCATTGGTTCCAGCTCCGGGGGAGGGAAGAACAAAGCACGCTTTGTGGCCGGCTGTCCCCTCCCCGGCGCAGCCGCCTCCGGGACCCCCTCCGGAACTCCCGGCGACGCCCCCCCAGCCGACAGCCGTGTAATGTCTTCCAGGCGTGGACTCTGCACACAGCCACGAGGCTGCCTGCGGGCTGCCTCCCTGTGTCCCCTAGCCATCTCTGTACTGAAAGCTGGCCCAGGGTGCCAGGCAGGTGTAGCCACCTGACAACTCAATACACCTCGTTAGGGTTACCGTTTGGGGGAGGGAAACACTAGCATTGTTGGTGGTGTCGCTGTGGCCGCTGTTTTGCTTTGTGACTAGTCACTTCGGATGACAGCCCTGGGTTCCCATGTCTGCGCCACTGACTAGCTACCAGTTCTTATGAGCATCATCCCGTTCAGAACAGGAGGAACCACTGACTGGGTGCCTACTATCAATGGCAGTGTGGGGTTTTAAGGCTATCTTCTACCTTTAAGTGTCAGGGTCACCTTGGCAGGGGTAATTTTACCCCTTATTTAACAGAGGAGAAAACCCAATTTCCAGGTGCCCTGGACATAAAGTCTGTTTCCTTGTCTATAAAGGAAGGCTGTGTACAGAATGCTCCCCTCTCCCCACAAGGTGCTTTTGTGTGGTCCTTGCTATCCCTCTTGCTCCTGTCTCAACCTCCTTAGTGCTGGGATTACAGGCATGGATTACCATACCCAGTTTCTCTTGGGTTTTTAGAACTATATTCCCTACCCTTGTCTTAGCCCTGCCTAGATGAGCACACAGATGAAAGCAGGTGTCTGGCCTGAATGGCTCTATCCAGAAGCCCTGACACTCTTAGACTCTTAAAGGAAGCTGCAGCAGCCCCCAGGTCTATAGAAAATATAGAGTCTACCCTGACCCAAAGACCGCTCCCC